TATGTTACAATTTAAAAGTAAATCCACATTGTTCTTAAGGGGGCACCTTCTCCCGTCCTACTCAAATAACAATAGGGTAAAACTAGCATGGATGACCAACCGATCAAAACAACCAGTCAGATTAAAGTAATTGAGACGAACCTACTTTACAAGAAATCGTTTTGGTGGAGTTCACTTCAGCTCACGTTTAGAAAATGCACATAAGGGGGCGCTGAATGATTTTACGACAACGTTCAGAGTCAGACACGCCCTTGCCGCGGTTTTCCTTCACCAATAGAAAAAGCCCAAGTATGAATGACAGCTAGAACAGCCAATCATATTCCTTCAGCTCCATCTTTACGCACTCTCTAACCAATCATACTTCAACGTGTTGTGTCAACTCATAGTAACGCTTCCTTGTTTCCAGTATGGCCTTGCACTAAACGCGTGTCACTGTTATTTAGGAAATTATTTTGTGTTTCAATAGTTAATGTGTTATTTCGGGTCAAGATCAATTCAGTGTTTTATACTTAAACGTTCGCGATGGGTTTACTGACGATCTTGAAGAAGATGAAGCACAAGGAGCGCGAAATGCGTCTATTGATGCTGTATCCTTTCACAGAACTGCATTCAAATGTATTCATACAAATACATTGGAAAACAATATTCTTTTTAAACCGCTGTTGTTTTTATGTTTAATAAAGTACGTTCTTACTCTATTCACGAGGGTCAGATTACTCAAATGAGGCTCGTTTAGTGTACAGTTCTCATTACTCGTGATGCTAAAGACTGTTGTGGGTCCTTAACCTTTCTTTATGGTGGTCTTGACAATGCTGGAAAAACAACCATCCTGAAGAAGTTTAACGGCGAAGATGTCAGCATGATCTCTCCAACATTAGGCTTCAACATAAAGACCCTCGAGCACAGAGGGTACGGCTGAAGTCTGGTTGTGTTATATATGTTTTGCATAAGTGAGCATGATTAGATGCTAACTTTTAATGAAACTAATTGGCAAAAAGGCTATATATATATA